CCCCCCCACCCCCATCCATCTCCCCACCACGCTGCAGATCCCACGCCCAGCTCCAGGCAGGAGACGTGAGCAGGGATGGAGCCAGGACTGATCTCTGCAAACACTGGGACGCTGCCTGGGCCAGCCAGGGGGTCCTTCCCCTTGCAGCAAACCACAGGCAGGGCACCTGGCATGTCGTGGCATGAAGCAAAGCAAACAGGAGCAGCAGGGAAGGGTTCAAGGACCCACCTTCATGCACCGTGATGGGCTGAGGCAAAGGTGGGGACCTGGGAAAAAGGCCTGTTAACACAGCCCGAGGTGTGAAGAAATCCTCAGTGATTTTGGATGAAGCAAGGAAGAGATTTTCCATGTTTTCCTCACCATCTTTGACTTTTCAGAGGGCTGCATGCCCACGAGCAAGCACAAAAGCTGCGGCCAAATTCAGCAATACCCACTCCAGCCACAAGCATGCACTTGTATCTTAAATACAGCCCCTTCAGGAAACAGGAGATTGGCTTTAAAAAAAAAAAAAAGAAAGCTGCACAAAAGTGTGACATGAAACCAAGCAGAAATTCCAGCACTGCATATCCAGAGGCTTCTTTTATTTGCCATCAGGTCTCCAGGCCCTTGGGACTCCCTGGCAGTGATATCGCCTTATTCGCACTCTATTAAAAATAAAAATGATGCAGCCCCATCTCTCTGGCAACACTGAAGGTCCCCTGAGATGTTAAGCTGTGAGCAGATGAAGGCCCCATATCTGTGTCTGTGCAGGAAGGGCTCCCTCACAATTACCAGGGAAAATGGGCAGAGCTGCTCGTGCTGGCTCTTGGCACAGCGCCTGGCACGGCAGCACCAGCCACAGCCCCGTGCCCGGGCCACTGACCCAAAGCCGGGCAACGCCTGAGTCCTGGGAAGCAGCAGCCCACCCGTGTACAACCCCAGCATGGTGAGAATCCCCAAATCTCCAATCCAAAGGAGATTTTCAGGAGGTTGAGCCCTGTCCTGCTCAGCACCCACCCCGGTGGTGGCTCTTTACAGACGTGACCAGTGGCACCAGAGCCAGCAGCGTTTCCAGGTGGGCAGTCTGCTCTGGGAGAGGGATGAGGACACCAGCACCCACCCCAGCGGTGGCTCTTTGCAGACGTGACCAGTGGCACCAGATCCAGCAGTTTCCAGGTGGGGAGTCTGCTCTGGGAGAGGGATGAGGACAGTGCAGCTGAGCTGTCCCCCAGAGCCTGCGTGCACAGACACGTCTGTCTGTCTGTCCTGCTCGCCCTCACCTCTCTCTCCTGCCTCCCCCAGGGATTTGTCAGCCCCACTCACCCAACTGCGGCAAAGAGGCACAGGACTCAGAAATACACTGATCCTGCTTCTTGCAGAGACAGAGCTGAGGCCAGACACTTTCTCTGTGTGCAAAACAAGGCTGCCAGGTGAGCACAACCCTTATTAGACACTGGAGAATCCATCCAGCCATCCCAAACCCTTCAGAAAGCCAAGCTGCAGTGCTCCTGCAGCCCTCGATCCATACAGCACCGTCAGCATCAGCTGTACCCCCCCTCCCTTCGCCCTAGAGGGGCTCCTACACCAAACCCTTTATCCCCAAAATCCCAGGGCACTGGTGTCTCCAGATGGTGCCTCACCAGAGAGCTGGGATGTGAACGAAGCCCAGCAAAGCACCCAACAGAGGGTGGGCTCACCCTCGAGGTGCAGACCCCCCATCCCCGGGGCGAGGGAGGAGGAGGGAGTGGGGGCTCTGCACACACAGTGGGGGCAAAGCTCAACACGGACCCGTATGTTTATCCAAAAGTCTCTTGTTTTAACCAGGAAACATTCTCAGTCTCTTACTTAACACACCCAAGCCCCAGCCCAAGCAGTAGTGAGGCACTCCTCTGCCTGACAGCAGGAAAAGGACACCAAAGCCCAGTCCTGGCCTGAGAGAATGGGTGTGACAGTTTCCTGAACATTAACAGACACGGGTGTGCAACCTCCGTGCCTTACACCTTGGGTTGTGGTCTTTTTGAAAACAATATTGTCTCTCAAAGCCTCCAGCTCTC